TACATGTCGACGCCTAGCTCGATGCCGCGATGTTTGCACCGCTCGCTGCTATTCCTGCTGGACTATAAGACGCATCGTGCACCACTCTGCAATATAATATCTAGTCTATTTTACTCGATATTAAGAGTAGCTGCGGCTTAAGCGCAATTCGATTTGTCGGTACTTGGCGCCAGCGAACAGAAAAGATGTGCTCGCTTGCCCGCGCTCGTCCTGCTGTCGCGCGGGGGGTTTCGATGCGCGCGAGGAATGACCTGTCGGGTGTAGGGTTTTCTCGCGACTAGCATGCGCTGATTATACTGTGGCTAGTCCAGTATAATGCGGGAGACCATAGTTGAGTACATCAGAAGGAGCCGGCTGTGTCAAAGGTGTAGTGGCGTTCATATGGGCATAATTGTGCGTTGCTTGGGAGTCGCTGATGGTGCTGCTCTCGTGTGTGTGTGCTGTTATGTGTTGTCGTGTGCTGGCATTCTATGTGTGTATTGTGTGTTGTGGGGTCGCGTGTGAATGTGCTGTGGTTGTAGATGTGCTGGTGTGGCGTCGATGTGTGCGCGCGCGTCGTTGTTATGCGTATGTGTGTGCGTGGCGTATTGCGTGTCCGTGCGTGTGTGTGTGTGTGTGTGCGGAGGCAGCAAGAACAGAGATTTAGAAGGGCGACGGCGTGAGTACACGATTTGCGTATTCTATCATTCGTTTCTCCCGCGATGACGTGATGCAGCTGTTGCAATTCAACATAGCGCAGTTGCAATCTCGAATGGCTGTGGCGAGCATTATTAACTACTTTACAGTGGACCCTTGTTGAGCTTCAACTACAGTTTACTCATCCTTCCTCCGTTTTGTACCGCTAGACTTCATCTAAAAACGGCGGGCAATTGCGACATGGTCGTGCGATTTGCCGGTCTTATGGACACAGCTTCTTCTTAAGCCCTGGCTAGTACCTTTGTATCCTCGCCACTCATTTGCGGTCTGCTTTCTCGTTTACGCGCTACAAGCAATGACGGTGACTCCCGCACATAGAACGAACATTCTCCGACTCCTCTAACTAGGCGTTTTGCGCACCCTTCATCCTCAAACATTGGTCTTCCGACGCTCCATTAAAGGAGAATAACGCATTGAATTTCCACGTCCTCTCCGGAGCCCGCCGCTCGAGCCCGTTGATACTCGCCTACGCCGCGTAATTAGCACAAGGATTAAGCGTCGGAGGGCTTCAGCTTCCTCCGCCACCATACGACGCTATCATGCGCGCCCGGTTCGGTGCTGCCTTTCCTCAGACGTTTCCCGTTTCTGCAATCGCGTGCGCGTGCGCGCGAGTGTGTTGTGTCAGCAATAAGTGCCGGTCGGTGTCCTCGTATTGCGCCTTACTGCTCTCCCCGCTGCCCTATAGCCCTCCTCTCATCATTTTACCACTCCGCGGTTCGTCTGTGCCGCACTCCCGCTCTTTTGCCTGCTCGTGATATTTACGTCATCACCGTCTTGGTCGTACTTCCTCCGCCCGATTTGATCGTCTTGTTCCTACCGCGCAGAAACTATATCGGTCTGTGATCTGGTTTATTCGGGCTCGCCAGTTAAGCGAGCATATTGCCGGTGCGCTCGATAAGTTATTCACCGGCTCACGAGCCACGACGCGCTGCCAGGAAGAAGACTAGAGACGGGACTGGGCTCGCTAACGCAGAGAGGAAGGTATGAGGTGCGTGGCGGAGAGGGAAGACGCTCAGGGGAAGCGTGCACGAAGATGGTGTGCGGTGCGAGGTGAGTTACGACTGGGTGAGGTTCAAAATTAATGATTTTCGCATAGATTTTCCGTGTAACTGCTCCGTGTTATATTGCCTAGTGACAGAGATCATTGCTTCAAACTATAGTTTGGTCTCGATATCTAGGGGGCGGGCTTGGCTCACTCAGACCTGGACTGCGCGATTAGGGCGACACCAGCTAAGACCCAGGACGGCGACGGTATCATTTCATCAGTTCTACGTGATCAGACGCTCATCTTCCACCTCTCGCTCGCGCCGT